AAAATCAACATGAAGACCAATGGAGTAGAACAGAAGACGGAGAGACAAGTCCACAGACACAGTCATCTGATCCTTGACAAAAGTGCCAAAAACTCATGCTGAAGAAAAGAGAGTTATTTTACAAATGGTACTAGAATAAAGGGCAGGGGGCAGGGGGGACAGGTAGCCATATGTAGACATCTGATCCTTGACAAAAGTGCCAAAAACTCATGCTGAAGAAAAGAGAGTTGTTTTACAAATGGTACTGGAATAAAGGGCAGGGGGCAGGGGGGACAGGTAGCCATATGTAGAAGAATAAACTAGATTCCTGTCTCAACTCACACAAAAATTCAAAGCGGATAAAAGACCTAAGAATTAGATCAGAAACACTGTGATTGCTATAAGAAAACAGGTTAAATACTGTGACATATTGGCACAGGCACCAACTTCCTTAATAAGACCCCTGAAGTTCAGGAAGTAAAACCAAAAATCAATAAGTGGGACAGCATCAAATTAGACATTTCTGCCCCTGGTACCAAAAAAACAAGTAATAGGCAGGCAAGGGATTGTAAAAGTCAAATTTCCTTAAGGAGAACCAGTGGAAGAATTTGAGTTTGACAGCATGGTCAGTACTATAACTAGCAGACATAATGATATCTAAACTTACCAACACAAGAAACTCACAGAATAGCAAACACTCTACTCTAGACATTTGAGGTCAAATACAAATAATTTCTTGTATGCCCCTGCAGGCAGATGAAAACACTGAAAAGGGAAAGAAGAGAAAGGAAATAATGCCAATATCATGCAAATTACTGTCTTATTTTTTAGTCTTTAAAATGTTTAAATACTTCAGGCTGATTTTGCTTTTTATTAGCTCTGTATAGTTTGGTTAGTAAAGAACTGACTTAGTTTTATATTTAAGCTTCTATTAATTGTTTTCTTTGATGATATTTGTTTCTCTATTTTCCTTTTATACTCTCAATTTTTATATATTTGGTTAAATCTGTTCAGAGCTTTGTCCTCATGGCAAAATATAACTTCATACTTCCTGACCTGATTGCTCACTCCACCCCCTCCTCCTCCTCCTCCCTTCTCCCTTATTGTAGTGTTCAGAGAGTGCTTGGGTTGTGGATCTGAATAGAGCAGTGCTTTCAGGTAAGCATCACACATACCTATAATTACACTGAAAAATGGGAGGGAGTTGTAAAGTGCTATTATAACACAATACCATTGATAAGAGCGAGGAGTGACCCTTTTGTTTCATTTTGACATGGTAGGTTTTGAAATAAATATTGATTCAATAGGGCAAAACAAAAAAAAGGGTGGGGGGAAGACATCTAGGAAGCAATGGAGAATGTGCTCACTCATTCACTCCCGCTCCCCCTCCTGCTCTCTCCACACTCACACTTCCTCCTCTTCATCCCCTTTGAGTTCCTTGATCCTTTCTTTTCAATTCAGGATAGGATTCCTGGAACTAGCTGCCTGTTGGGGAAGAATTATTTTTTAATTGCATAATCTAGACAGAGTCACCCAGGGCAGAAGAACTGAGGTGTCGGGTGCCCAGAGCACAGCCACAGGTATCTCCAGGCCCCCTCCAGCAAGAAGGAACCTAGCTTCTCTACTCCAACCCCAGCATCCTGCCTGGCTGTGCAGGGTTGCTCAGCACAACCAGGTGAAGAACCAGGGCACAGCTAAGAAGGAGATGAAGGAGTGCTACAGAGAAATGTAGCAAACACTGAAGACCCACGGACCTCAGGTATCTGATAAGACCAGCGCCTTCAGGAAAAGGCATAAAAAGTGGCAAAGAGGGAATTAGGAAGGGCAGAAAAGATGAGTTTATAGATAAGAAATAGACACAAAGAGGAAAAAAATTACATGCTGATGCTGGTGCCATTATCCTCATCCTCAGGATCTGTGAAACAGACTTCCCCATGCACAAGGGCAGCGATGATAATCGTGTGGCCTTGGAGAAAGGAAGGACAGAGTTAAAGTCAAGCCAAGAACCTGAGCCCCTGCTGCTCCTGGTGTTCTAGAACCCACAGTCACAGCTCCATTCTCCTCATTTCTGGACTCCTGTGTGCAGGTCTCAGTCACTTCACCACTGCAATGAGGTCTAGAAGCTCCAGCCCTGTTTTCCAGGCCAAGTTCACATCTCCAAGAGGCTGCCATTGTCTCCAGGGTTTTCTGGACATGTTCCTGACTTCCCTTCCCTGACATACTCCCTCACACCACCTGTCTCTTTCCTCTTCCCTGGTTCTCTCCAGCTTCCTTTCATGTGTGTGTCTACTATGAGGACATTGGTGGAAAGATTAAGGATACACTACCACCCTCCCTAATTAATCAATTGACCACTCCTTCCAAGCCCAAGAGCACCTTTCTCAGGACCAAAACTGTGCTGGTATTATGGGAAAGAATGACAACCAACACACATGCAAAGTGAGTTTTCTGGGCCTGGGGTGACATTAGGGTTGTGGGAGGTTTTATCTTTCCCCAAAATTCCATAACTAATTACAGAAGATGAACCCAAGTTCATAAGAGTAACTTGTCCAAGTCCCCAAGTATACAAGTAGCAAGTACACAAGTGAAAACAGGTGTGTTGGTGGCAATATAAAAGAAATGGGATCTGCCAGCTGTGGGAGACTGAGAGGGAAGATGCCCAGTACACCTGAGAGTAAGGACCAGGCAGAGGCCCAGCTGAAGTGCAGGAATGGGGTACTGGTGTCCAGAAGGAGCGGTACAGAGAAAGGAGCAGTGACATCCTGGATCTGAATGACACTCCAGAGCAGTGACATCCCACAGGCTTCTTCCTGAGCCTATCCAGTTCTAGGACAGGTAGCCAACAGGGTCATGAGGGCCCAGAGGGGCTTGAAAGACAGATGGACACAGGACTCTCAAATAAAAGCAAATTCAGGTTTTCACTCTAGTCCCAGGATGTAGAAATTAGCAAAGAAGAGGTGAGAAATGTGGTCAAGGATATATTTCTCAACCCTCTTCTCCAGAGGCACCAAGAAGCATGTGTGGGAAGCCCAGAGGAAACATTCCTGAACTCCCCAGAACCTGGAACAGCCTTTGAAACCAAGGAGTGGACAAGAGGACAGAAGAGAAAGTGATGGTATAGGGCCAAATGTGCAGAGGAGCAGGTCAACTCCTGACCACCACCTGGTACAATTAAGAACTCTGTCTAGTTTCACACAGTACCTCCGAGGGAGAGTGTCCTACCAGATGCCTTCCATTGTGGTTCAGTACCCAAAGCCTGGTTTCCAAGAGATGCTGACTGATTAAAGTCAAGTACTGAGGTATTTGGAAATGGCAGAAGTAGGAGAAAGCAAATCTTATTAAGACTGAGTTAACTAGCAAAGCAAAAAAAGAAAAAGCTATAAGTAGTATGCTCAAAGCCAGTAGACAGACCTATGACCTTAAAATAGGAAAGCAACACATATTTCCTGTTTCCTTCTCTTTTATCTCCAAATAAACAAGCAGACTCAACTCCTCCGAGGCACCTACCTGCAGATTTCATCCTCACTGCTCAAATCCAATCTTCTGCTGATGATCCACTCTTTAGAGACACAAACATCAGTAGCAATGTTAATTGAGAGAGTCTCACCCCTTTCTTCCACACCCCTTGGGTTCAAGGTGGTTGGCATGGTTGGATGTGTCTTGCCTGCCAAGTTCATGTGCTTAAGATTTGGTCCTCGGTTTGGCCTGGTTGGGAGGTGTGAACCCTGTAAGAGGTGGGGCCTGGTGAAGGGTCACAAAGGGCACCATCCTCAGAGAGACAGAGTTTCCTCACACCCTGGTCAGTTCCCTCAAGGGACATGTGTCACAAAACATGCAAACCAGGTCTCTGAATCCCCAGGCTCCCGTCTCACAGCGTGATACCTGCCTCTCACACGTGCACCCACCATCATGTCACCCATATTATTGGGATGCAGCCCAGTGGGCTTTTCATCATGCCAGGCAAATGCAAGGACCATGCTGTCAAATGTCCACACCTGGGAGTTACGCACACCTCTACCTTATAATGTCCCCATCTGCAGGTGTTTTGTTCAGAAATAGAAAATAAACAAATACCCTAAATCACACAGGATCACCAGGATCTGTTCTGTGTTTTCAGACTCTCCCTGGGTTTGGTGGAGTCAGTCAACAAGGCACTGCAACCAGTCACCAGCCTTCAAGGGAAAGAGAGGAGTTGAAGGAATCACGGGCCCAAATTGCTCTCTTCTCCACACATATCAACCTGGAATTGCAACCGTGATGAACCCATGTGAGAGTAGTGATTTGAAACCTGGCTGTGTTTACGCTGGGAACTTCCTGTGTGATGGTATAGGTCAAGATGACGGCAGCCAGAGGACGTTATGTGCAAAGGTGTGGAGCTTTATCTAGTCGGAAACTTGAGTTCAGGCACGAACACCCAGGAGAAATCTGAACATAACAATATAACCCTAATGTCTCACCATTCCTATGTCCTTCAGATTGCCTGCTCTGCAGAAACTTCCCACAAATAACCTTTTGATGAAACCTATATGATAAATGTGCTGTCCTGGCTCTGGGTCAAACTCCATCAGCTTTTTCTGGCCCCAACTTTTTCTCTGTGTGTGTATGTTTGTCTTTTCTTCATCTCCCATCACCCCTCACCAGTTTTCTGAATTAATGGCCATGGCAAACACATTTTGTAGTTATGAACCCAGTGAACAGGCCCTGTGCCCAACTCAAGAGCAGGTACCCATAACATAAAAGGAGTGTTCACTGTCCATTATGAATCCAACACATGCACACATGTTAGCACTTGAAATACGGCTAGTGGAATAAGTTCTGAGTATTTAATTGTAGAATCCAAAGAGGAGGAAGACATGGCCTTCCTTACCTAGTTTTTCCCTTGCAGAGGAGTTAGCTGGCCTAATATACTCACTCATTTACAAACAGTCCCTGGGCACATGCACAAGAGCCAGGAGTTCTGAAATGTCCTGGAAACACTCCATCAGTGAAGTCAACCTTCAGGCCTACATGGCTCCCAACATGACCTGGGACACCTTGTCTAGAGTGATGAGAAAACTAGGCAGAGTGGGGGACATAGCCACTGTCTTGTCTGTTCTCATGCCCGCATCCTGGGGTCAGAGCCTGTATGAGTACCTGGCTCAATGTGGGGCACCGTAGGCTGGACAAGCTGAGGAGCAATCCTTTCCACACTTGAGCATGATCTCTGCTCAAAGGGGGAATGCTCATGGGGACTTTAAAAAGTAGCCCAGGAATGAAGAGGACACAGGCCCTGCCCTCACTGGGAAAAATCAAGACCAGGATCTGCTTACCCAAGAGTGGAAGAACCTGTATAGCATTTGTGGCTGACAATGAGGAGACATATCAGAGACAAGTCTCCAAGTGATGTCCTCCAGGACCACCTAGACTGTGGGATCAGTCCCCATCCATGCTGAATTCTCCCTGTGCTGTAGCTAGACATGCTGTGACTGTGCTGGCTATGTCCCTTAAGCTCCCTCCAATTTGTTTTTTTGTTTGGTTGGTTTGGGGTTTTTTGTTTTGTTTTTTGCGGTCCTGGGGATTGAACCCAGGACCTTGTGCATGCAAGGTAGGTACTCTACCAACTGAGCTATATCCTCAGCCCTCCTTCCAATTTAAACATGTCTCTGGATCACACAACCTTCAGTTAACAGTGACCTGCTGCTGGGGGCCACCCTGAACAGGAGTTGCTGTCCTATTTTGAGGTCATAGGAATAAGAGCTGGTCTGTCTACTGGCTTTGAGCATAATATTTATAGCTTTTTCTTTTTTGCTTTGGTAGCTAAACTCAGTCTTCCTCATAAAATTTTGCTTTCTCCTACTTCTGCCTCTTCCAAATACCTCAGTACTGAGCGAGGAGGTACTGGACTGGCATCACACACATTGCAATGCATGTGGACCTGCCTCTGCTTGGATAGAAAGGTGCAGCTCTGGGAGTGGGTGTCACCCAATGGGATTGAATTACACCCACCTATTTGTTGCAATCCTACCCTTTTGCCCATTTTTTGATAGAATGTTCCATGGATTAACTTCCCCCATTAATAAAACCCAGGTTCGAGGCCTGCTCCTTATCATTCTTACCTGCCTTGCCTCCTTTGTGGGAGCTGGGTCAGAGGGGCCATCACACAACCCAACGAAAAAGGTATTTCTCTGTCTGTGTGTCATTATTTCATGCCAGCCCAGTTCACCAGGAGTGACCCTGCCTGGTTTAGTCATGTGTCACTACAACCTGCTGCCAGGCAGATTCCAGAGACAGGTAAAACCAAGAAACTGGCAAGTCTGAAGTCTGCTTTCCTGTCTCAGATTCTTTCCAGAACTGGGTGTGGCATGTAAGCGGACCTGGGGATCAGTGCAAAGGAAGGGTCATGCCCAGCACTCTCTGCTAAAGATGCATTGTAGAAGATGAATTCTACCTTTCACAGAAAAGCTATGCAAGAATGAGGTTAAGGAGAGAGGAGAGAGGATGGCGGCGAAGGGAGTGCATCACCCCAGTGCGCGCCGCGTCACTGAGCCGG